TTTTTTTTTTTCAAAATGTTACGGTAACTATATATTTTCTAAAAGCTTTTTTTTTGTTAAGAATCTAAATAGGGATATTGACAAAACTAACGTGAAACAATTTTATAATTAACTGAATAGCCAAATCAGATTATGAGCTAGAATACAAGCTGTATAAAGTATATTGTGCCGAAAATGTCCTTAATGACAATCGAAGAAAGAAAAGACATATGACATGATTTGTTTGTTCATCTTCTCTGGTGGAATCACCACCATCTCCATCTCCGTCGTCCTTATTACCTTATGCTTCACCATTAAACCGTCTCTGTTGCCTGCCTTCATCTCTTCCTTTCGAGAGGTTGTCGTTACGGGTCAAAAGATTTCTTCGCCATCTCCTTCGCTTCTCATCGAGTTGATATTGTCAGTGAATACGGCTTCTTTTCCATCGGCTCTCGACGGCCACTGATCACAGTTCTTATCGCTCTTTCTATGAATTTGGCGTAAGAGCCGTCATGGACTTGACGGCCTTTTGGTGTGAAGAATGGTGAGGATAAAACCGTAATTTCAGTAGGTCGGCTATATTCTTCGTTAGTGAGTTCAATATAACTATTTGGCAAAATCACCCATCTAAATATCACTAAAAATAAATATTTTAGGGTTTACAAATTATTTTAGAAATAAAATTAGCTTGGTCCTATATATGCCAAAAAGATTAAAAAAAATAAACATGGAAACAAAAGCAATCAAAAATTCGAGTGGAACAAAGAAACGGAAAATAGGGAAAGAAGAACAATTTGAAAGATCGAAGAAATTTCAACACCGCAATCATAAGCTATTTCATCCTGTAGTCCGACACTAAAACCTTCAAACTTAGGAGCCAAACGATATCGATTAGAGGATGTCATCCACCCTGCAAAACGAGGCTCATCCTACAATCCTTAGAAAACCAATTCTAATTCGGCACTGCACTAGTCGAAAGAACCTTGTATTGCTTTCTAACTCTACCACCCGTCGGCTAAACTTTACTAAATCAATAACCTTACAAACTCCTCCAAATGCAAAATTAGCGTCACACAATTAAACTCGAAGCAGTCCTAACCTAATTTCACTAACATATTTTTTTTTTCTTTTTGATAAAGGGTATTCAATCACTAACAGGTTGTAAGTTGCGAAATCAAGAGAATAGCCCAAACTATCTTAATCCACCAAATACGAAGATAAGCGATAGCCAAATCAGATTTTGGAATTAACCGATGGCAGAGGTAGAGCTAACGACTCTACCACAACAGCCAGAAGCCCACCAAATAAAACCAACTCATATTTTCTGCCGAAACAACGTTTCGTTTTTGCTATGAAGCACGGGTACTTTGTTTTGGTGTCGTCTCCCGTACCGGAAACGTTCCAGAGACGGATACGGCTCGGAGACACCACCGAAACGTCTCCGAGATGTCTCTAACATGTTAGGGACGTCGACAATTAACGGGGACGAAACTTTTCGAATTTAGAGACGTTTCTCGAACGTATTATGTTAAAAATTAGTGTTTCCGTTGTTTGTTATATATATTAATTATTATTTTTAGGAAAAAATGAAAATTAAATGTATAACGTAAAAAAATAATTATGAAATAGGGTTTCAAATTTATTATACATCTCATATATAATCGACATTCGTTTTTTCAAACAGTCTCGATTCTTGACTCTTTACAAGTCAACAAGGTTTGTTTCTTCAAATTACGTTACTCCGATCACCGTATGTTTTTCTATCTCTAATACATATTTTTCTTGTGATCTAAACTCTATTGTTAACGTCAAAATAACTCTAATTCTTATATTGATTTAGTGTTTTTTTATACTGAGATTTATGATGTAATTTTTTTATATGTATTCATAGGTATTT